CACGCACTGAACAAAAGCAGCCCATCATACAACACGACATGCTCGTACCGTGCCCGAAGTTGGCCTGCAAGCTCACTTGGCACGCCGCCCCCGCGTTTGTGGCTCCCCGGGATCAGTCCTGCGATGGGAGCACCGAGCAGCGATCCTAGCCCGCGGACAAAGTAGATGAAGCCGTTCACGCGAGAGTAGTTCTCGACCCCATATATCTCCGTGATCGTCGTGGGGACAAGCGCATTGTACCCGCCAGCGTAGATGCCGTACATGACGACGAACGCGATGAAGCGTTCGCGTGCGGCGTCGTACCAGAGCGTGAACACTGTCAGCGACGAGAGGAAGACCTGGAACGGGGCGGGATAAGCAATAATAATCTATTGTCAGGTAAAAAAAAAACGCACGCCACAAATCAAGGTGTTCTGCCTGCCAACGTGATCCGCCAGCAGGCCCATGGCAATTCGGGAGACGGTGTTGACGCCACTGTTGATGGCTAGCAGGAGACTGCCTCCGGACCGAGAATATGACAGAACGGATACTGAGTAAGATGTCATGTAATACAACGGGATGACATTCCCTGCAGCCTGTAGGAACGCGCCAAGCGCCTGGTCCTCTCAATAAATATGGAACTCTTGGGGTAAGAAACATATAAACCTGGTACAGGAAGGTCCCTCGTTTCACAAGTCCCATATTTATGCGCGTGCGCGCTCCATTCGCGGTGGGGTCGAATCCTGAGCGGCGGCGTATGACGCACGCGATGGGAACACCGACCGCAAAGTTCCAAGCGGCGAGGATACGCAGTGCTCCGTGGATACCGTAGCGGTCCACGAGAACCTGCAAGACGGGTGCCATGACGAGACCTCCGGCACCTGCACCAGAAAGGATGCATCCTATCGCGAAGCCACGGTGGCGATCAAAGTACGTCGGTGCGATGCTCATAATGGGGAAATAATACAGGGAAGAGCCGATGCCATAGAGCAAGGCCTGCGTCAGGAAAAGCTGCCAGAGCTGCGGAGCATTTACAGCGACGTTAGCACCGATTATGACTAGCCGACAATCGGAATTATGACGCACAGTGGAACAGTAGCTAGCAAGGAACAATCCCAGACTCATTATTGCTGTCCCAGTGAATGTGATGAGCTTCACGCTCTTGACGCGTGCGATGACAGGGTTGACGAAAATCCCTCCGCTCCAGGTCAATCCGCTGCCCAGGGTTCCCACGAGAGAAACTACGGCATCATTCCCGCGGGCAGACGGAATGTTGCTCTCCGGCGAGGTGTAGAAGTCCTGATAACGATTGATATTAAAATGCATATACTTGGAGGGTTCTACAGTAGAGACCATACCTGGAAAATACCAAAGACACTATTAATACCTATGATATGGAATATCATCATGAATGCGGAGAGTATAAGTAGGGCTTGATAACGCCGCGTTGGTGGGGCATCTTCAGCATCCGCTCCGGTATCCTGGAGAGTATGCGATTGCACAGAGACTCTTCGTGTAGGTTGCAACTCGATTGTGACTCCAGATTGTGGGGGATGAGCTAAGGACATCACCTTTGAGTGGACGAAGCGTATGGTAAAAGACAAGGAGGGAAGGAATCTGTGATGGCAGACTCGGACCGCCGAACATGTCCTAATTATCATAGGATGATAAGCAACAGATCCGTACTTGGCTTAATTGATAGACGCCCTAGACACGGGTTTGGTGTCCAATAATAGTATGGCAGTCCTGAATCGATAGGCGTCATCGAGAAGTATTTAATTCCGTGTGATACCGCATAGGACAAACTAAAGCCTAGTCGACCATGACCTTCCACTTTGTCCTGTCCTTGGAATGTCTCTCATCAATGCCTCACACAATGGGACCATAGAAGTTCCGGATGGCACTACATCCCACGGAGACCCGCACGCCTGCATCCAGCCTGGATATCTTCATCGAATCCGGACTTCCGAATCCCGCCCTCACTCGATGCGAATGGTAGTCCATTTAACCACGTTCATGAACGATGTGAATCAATATATACAATTAAATTCAAGCAAATTGAGGCATCTGACCTTGCCCACAATGCCGCCGATGAATTTAATACGCAACACCGAGTACGGCATCCCGCGTTTGTGTCAGCCTAAAAATTGATTGATCCCGCGCCTCAGGCATACTAACCTATTCGTAGGTTTCTCCCCGACCTGATTAACAAGGACCGGAAGGTGCTGGAGAATCCCCCAAACACCGTTCCTAACAGGTGCGGCCGCTAACGTGAGCATCATCCTATGTGCCTCCGTTGTTCATTGAAGACACCCACAGCCCGGCCGGACACGCAGTAGCTGTCGATTCCCGTTCCGTACGCCTTGGTCCCATTCCTTGTCTCTGTATTCCACTGATATCAATCACCGTAACTCGGGTGCTGCCTCGAAACTGTCAGGCAGTCGCAACCCTTATCTGCACCGGCGGCTTCGCCCAGGAAATTGCTTGCACGGACATTCCATTCGGGTGCTCGGCGACTGGGGTGCCTCCAGTTACGTCGGATGCCACCTGCGCAGTGCAGTGTGTGTGCGAGGTCCCCTGCCCATAATTATTGAAGCCGTATTTGGCGAATGTAATGGGTGTGGATGTCCAATGTATCTGATTTGGTTGGCGCATGATATGAGGGGCACACAGTTGTTCAGTTTCCGCCTCAGCGTGACTTCTGAATCGGGCAATTAATTTCGGCAGACTTCGGCATGTTTGCGCGCAAGGATTTAAAGTCATGTCAAGGATATTTAGGCAGTTTAGCGGAAGCAAGGACGGAAGAAACTCAATGGAGAACAAGAGAGGACGAGTGGCGAATGATATTGCGGGACACAAACGCCATCTGATTGCAATGGGGAATATACAGCGACGACGGATTTGGCATGTGTGCCCGAGCGAAGTCACAGGAATGGGCGAGTTGAGCCTGCTGTGTTCCTGCCTGTGTTGGTGCTCGTTGCTCCCGAGACTTGGATGCGTCGCTGATACGAGTGGAATATGCTGCTTCAATCCGGTAGGGGTCTGCGGAGGGATTCAGAAGAAGGAGAGGATCAATCGACGGTCAATAGTTGTGAATTTAGCGCAAAGGGTGAAGAGACCGAGACTTGAGAATGCAACCATGTAACAGAAAGCAGTATCTTGTATGGAGCGGACGGCCCTGGAGCGGCGAGATATACATTCGGAAGCCGCAGAACGGACGGGGAGATTGACGGCGTGAGATGAAAGGTGAGAGGGAGAATATACCATGGTTATGGAGTATTGAGAGCGACACGTGCAATTTCCCCGTGGGTTCTTGGACGGTGTGCGTATGCGAGTGTGCGCCCAGATCCGAGCACGCACTGATGACTGCAAGGAATTGGCCGCGCGCGCTAGGTGAAGGAACCTTGGCCAAACCGCGTGGGATGGGAGGGATTAGTTGAGGGTTGCCGCGAGCGAATGAACTCAACCGGGAATCATCGTGAGGATGGACCAAAGCCGCAAGGTATTGCGTGTGTATGCAATTGCGAAGGACCACTAAATGAAAAATGCCATGTACACAGATTGCAGAAACAACAGCCGACGAGAGATGGCTTACCTGCTCACCGGCGATTCTGAGGGCCCTGTGCGTTGAGATGCCAATGGGCAGTCCCGTGTCGGCTGCGTAGTCAAAGGCCCGCGGTACCGAGAGGCATCATAGGGAAAGTGCGAATCACACTGCCAGTGCGCGACGCAAGCGCCGCAGGATAACGAGCTCCTGGTGGCAACGAGTACGACGAGAGAGCCTGAAATCGAGACAGGAGTAGCATGGTAGAGCACGAGCCGCCGTTGTCAGACGTAAGATAATGCGCATACAGCAGCACCCTGCATCTGAGGACGGTTGATTGCGCAACTGACGAGCAGTGAGTGAGGGAGGAAAGGAGGGGAATGCACGGAAAATAAAATGTAGCAGCATGACCAGACCGGAGAAAATTTACCTGCGTAACCCCGGTTTGTATGTTCCTTCATATCGAGACTCCCAACCCGGCGTTTGCACGCACCGACAACAAAAGCGAGGCGCAGGTGACCCTAGCAGAAGAACAGCTGGCTCTTGTTGGAAACGGGGCATGCAGTGGCGGGGAGGGCTAGTCATGTCCCCTGTCCACCGGACTTGTTCAGAGGCAGAGACTTTGAGGCTCGGGAGTCGGTGATGATGGTCAAGATGAAAGAGACGCGTCACTGCCACTGATCCGACGTTCTCGGCCCGGGTCTCTCAAGATAGGGGCCGTCATCGTGCGCTAGTGTTTTGTGTTTCTCCCCACACTGACAGTCCCGCAGAACCACCGCCTTGTCGCGAAGTGGTGAATTTCCGGCAAGCTCTGAGCATTTATAGAAAGGCTCGGTAGCGGATGGTCCGCGCCCGCTCCTATAATCAAAGGAGTACTTTGCATTCAAATGCGGGAACCGCTCGTTCGACTCGAGCCGGGGCCATAGGCTGGAGAACGTTTCGCTTTTTTATATTTCGTGCTTTGCGCTTGATAGATTTTTATTCGATACGTTTCGCAGGGCTCAGGAGACGCCCACCGAAATGGAAGAACAGCCTTAACATAACTAATTCTGGAGCTCCTGCAGCTCGTCATCTTTTCATCCCAGGGCAGCGGGCGAAGGTCGTTTTCTTGTTAAATTTAGTTCGCATCATAGTCAGGGTCCAAAGGCCCAGTAGCGGATGGCCCGCACCTGCGAGCTATATCGAGGAACCAAGTGTATGCGCAGGCGTCGCTCGTTCGATCCGAGTCTGAGCCATTCCTCAAAAGACTTATGTTTTTATTGCCATGTCCGTGAATCCTGCACCTAACACGCACTCGATGTTTCTTCATCCCTGGCGCGTAGAATGCATCTGTCCTTGAAATTTGGAAATCAATATGAACAACCAATTCAACGTCCCTAATCGTGGGGAGGTCGGCCCTCTTTGTTCCCAGCATTTCTGTTCCTTCCCATTCAATTAAATCCTATCGACTAAACACAGTTCACAAATGCAGTAGGAAGGCCCGGTAGCGGATGGCTTCCGCACCCGCGTTTAACACTTGTATTGCCACGTACGTTGAGCGGGGAAACGCTCGTTCGAATCGAGCCCGGGCCATATTGGGCAATGCTAGAACCAGCCCTTTTTGTTTGCATTCGCAGTCTCAATGTGAAGCTTTACGTTTCTGCACCTCCCAAAATCTACACAATAGAGGAGCTCAAAGTTTAATCTGCAGGTCTGCTTATTTCGATTTTTGCCACTTTTTTTGCAGGCAGCCGAAAAGCGTCCTGTAAAAAAGCGAAAAAGGCGATCCTGCAGATTCTACTTTGAGTTCCCCTAATATAGCTAAAGCAGCTACGATCCAAAAGTTGGGCTGGGTGCATATTGAATCAAAGCCAAGGTGGTGCAGTGAGAAAGGTCCGTTAGCAGATGGTCGCTGCCAGTGATACGAATGCAATAGTGCTGTACGCGGGAAAAGCTCGTTCGACTCGAGCCCGGGTCGTGTGTGGTACTGGTTGCATTTATATATTCCGTGCCTTGCGCTCGATAAATTTCGATCCAATCTGTTTCTCTTCTAGGACCAACAAGAAGCCCAGCGATGCTATGGCAAAAGAGGCTCAGTCTGGATCATGAGGCTCAAGATTGCATCACTCCTTTGTATTGTATTGATATTGATGCCACGGCTTTGCAGAAACCCACGAAGTAATCCCAGCTGAGAGAAATGCTGGACTTCCTATCTCCCACGAGAATCAGAATCTATCTTGCACATCCTAACCAAGATCCCACATACCGTAAACAGGCCCAGTAGCGGATGGTTATCTATGTGATTATTGCGGTATCGCCCTTGCAGGCGTCACTCGTTCGATTCGAGCTTGGGTCATGAGGGCCTGGTACACATTTTTACTCCAATCAGCACTCCGACCTCCGTGCGTTAAGCGCAATCTTTCGTAGAATGCGTTAATGTGACTGAAACTACCAACCCCTTCCCGCTGTATCACAAGGTCACGATAATTAGAACGGGTCGATCGCCCTGATCCTCGAAGGCTTTCTATACGCACTTTTCGAACCTGATTTCGTTCGACCCTCATGCATCATGTACTAATACAGCTGAACTTACAGCTGAATTGTGTGGGCTATTATATCCCCTTTCTTGATTTCTAACTAAATAACGGAGCAGGTCATCGGCAAAAACAAAAACAAAAAAGAATCAGACAGCCAAGCCTTCGGGGGGACTCGAACCCATCCTCCGGTTATACGCAATTATCGTCGCCCTGTATTGCACCAGGATGACCATCACTGGTCCTCGAAGGCTCCATGGGTGTATCGTTCCGCAGTCGGTTATGCACTACACATTTATCATTTTATGTTGGACATGCACGTAGGCCCCTCGGCTTGTTCTCCGATGATGATTTGGTGCTAAAGGAGATTGTTATTTCACCAGGGAGGAGCAATTGATTAATTCCAGCAATCGCTTGTCGCAGGCAAAGTGGCGTTGCGGGGCAAGCAAAGCAGGCTGGGTGTATGCTGAAGACGTCCATACGGAGTTCAATATGTAGCCCAATATGTAGCCTGGGGGGGTATATCACCTCACTTTGAGAAGGGCACAACAGGGATGTATTTCTGTCCCCGTGGAGCATAACGGAGCGTGCCGTACAGGACAATGACATACCCGGGAGAACGAGAGAATATCGCACAGATACGATAATACCGCAGAAGATCTAGACAACATGCCGTACATTAACAACCTAGGTTGGCGTTTTCGATTCCCGATCAACTGAGACGCCAATGTCTTTGCCTTCTTATCGACGTTGGAGAGCAAAAGAAGTGGTATGAAAGTGGTCATCGGCAAGAAAGAAATAAAAATTGCATTCCCTATCGCCCCATGCCTTCGGGGAGTCGAACCCCCGGCTTATTGCTGCAATCGAGCTGAAAGCAATTCATTACGGCGGCCGATCCTCAAAAGTTGTATGCATGTCCTCTCGCAGTGGATTATATCTCACATATATTATATTCCATCGAAATTTCGTCAGCAAGGCTCGCCATAGCTTTGCTGTTACCTCGGATGTTCGTTCGTTCAGCGGGTGAATCGCTCGAGGGGTGGGTCTGCAGTAAAATCAGAACACATCTGTTGACGGGAAGCGTACAAGTATTATTATAACCACGCTTGCCCCGGGGAATCATGTTCTATTGTGTGCATAGAATTCCCGGTTTCATCTAGAGATGCCATCAAGTTAGACGAGCGACAACACGAATGCACTAGGTGAATGAATGAGAAGGAGTGTAGTACGATGGAGGGCGATGGGCCGCGGGCGGAGCGCAGAAACACGAGGTGAAAAAGTAAAGACTCGCCTCAGCCTGCCAGACCTTGCATTTCCTTCGCGCTACCTGCGCGCATCAGCGCTCACATATCACGTCCGCGAGAACACGTAGTACAATGACGTCAAACGGAAGCGTGCGATGGTGGAAACAGAAGTACAGATAAATGGCACGGAGGTCAGAGAGGAGCCACGGCAAGAAGATGAGCGACGTGGGTCTGAGTTGCTGGCGATGGGGACAGAGGAAACAGCGCGGGAGTTGGCGTTTCACTCGAGGTCATCCAAAGGAGGAAAACCTAGGTGCGCGGCAGCGTCTTCAAGATTCCAGGGCATCGGTCCTCGAGCCGCAGAAGGAAGATGAGTGTGCGTGCAAGACTGCTAGGCATTGAGTGGATCATCAGCCCAGATAATCGATTGCCGTGTATTGAAGGAGAGTAAAAGCAGCGCTCCTGGCATCAGAGTTGCTAAGCCGACGGGCCTGCCTAGCAACACTCAGTGAAGATACCTGAGAACTAGGCAGAGGTAGCGGCAGAATAATGAGCAGTAAGTTCGGCGGCGAAAAACGTCGCGAGCAAAGTGGCATGAAAGTCGAGAGTAAGAGACGTTGTGACACGTGCTTCCCCGGCCCGGCGCCGGCAGTTATGAGATAGGGGACATTCCTCGGATTATTTCTTTGCCAGCGTCTTTCCTCTGGGCTTTCAGTTTGATGTTTGAAACGAACAGGGACCTCGATCCGTGTTCAGTTGAGCTGCTTGACGGGTGGAAGTTGATGTCGTCCCACGGCGCGTCAGAGTCTCTGCGATCTGCGACGTGAAAATAATTGTGTATCATCATCATTCTCAGTGCAGTATCACAGGTTCAGTAATTAAGGGATGGTCCGCGTCCGCTCTGAATCAACAGGATCTGTCTCAATTAATATTCAAAAGTGGGAGCTGCTCGTTCGACTCGAGCCTACGCCGTGATTGTCAGATGACTGCCTCTTTATTCCGCACGATCTTCAGCGAAGCAGAGGGCAACGTTCAGACTGAAGACAATGACAATTAAAATTCGGCTGAACTATTCTCTATACAATCCAGCATGAACCCGGCATAAATGAGAGTAGGACGGTCGGGTATGCGCGCAAACGGTGTTCAGTAAACCCACCGATTTCCTGCAGGCACGGAAATCGTGTTTCGGAGTCAGGATTGCGGGAGTCCGCTGAATTCTCGTACATACCCACAACTAAATTGAGTGTCTTCCTTCCCGTTTTCGTGCCCCGCAACGTAATCGAATTTCTTGCGCACTCCAACCAAGGACCCACCTACCATAACAAGGCCCAGTGGCGGAAGGTCCGCATCCGCAATCTATAAATCGCTCATTTCAGTTATGCAGGAGCCGCTCTTTCGATTCGAGCCTGGACCATTACACTTGTGAGACGGTTTTTAGTCCCGCCGACGTCCGTGAATCCATGCTTCGCCGAGACCCCCATTTTTAATGCCGCGTCCGTTTAACGTTAATCTTGCGCGTGGGTGGAGCGAGCAGAGTATTAATCTTCCTTATCCTTCGTGCGCAGAAGTCATTTATGAACTGAAGGTTACTCGTTACTCGTCCAATACGAGCATTTTGGATGGTCACTGTCGAACTCTCTGAATTTCCGTTCCTTCCGACTCAATTAAATAACCGTCGAAATACTATTTGTTCGCAGACACAATCTACAGGCCCAGTAGCGGATGGATTCCGCACCCGCTTCAAATGATACCAGAAATACCGAAGGTTATGCGGCAAACGCTCGTTCGAATCCCATGTGATGTTTGCATAACGAATTTTCTTTTTTTCCTGGGCCAATTTTGCACTGCGAGCAGTTTTTTTTTTTGAATTCGGAGACAGCTTCACTCTGAATTTAAATGTTGTAGTGCTAGTAGGCACTTGTCTACATTTGGTGAGGGCGGTGCTGATTTTTCACTGCGAAGTCCGAGTTCATCGATAAGGGGGAAATGCACTTCTCGGTGGTCAAATTCAACCCACGCACCTCATCGTTTCTCGGCCATCCTTCTCAAGATCTCATCAACCACACCCACCAAAAACTGGGGCAATGCAGACTAAGTATCCACGCAGAGTAATCAACATGAAAGAATGGGACATCCAGTCGCTCTATTGAAACATGTGGACGCAGCCGGCAGTTAAGCCCACTGAATATAAATTTGCTTTCGAACAGCTCGAGCGCTTGTGATGGGCGCCTATCATCAGCCAGGGATGCCGGTGATAGCCGATCATCTTTGTCCCGTCCGATAACTCCGAACACAGACACGTATGTCTTGACTGCGGGGAACAGTCCCCGTCTCTCCGCGTCACGACGAGCAGCACTCCGCTCATGGGAGTATCGGTGGTGACTCTAACTCCGCACTATGACCCTTCTTCTACCCTGCTTCCGCTGCCAGTGGCTTCCCCTGAGGCTTCTCCATGTCCGGGCTTTCAAACTCCTTCACTGCCCCAACCGAGATTTCAACAATCTGTGCGTTTCCTACTTGGTTCCGCATCCTTCAGGACATGTTGATACGCTGCCAACGGAAAGATGGACAGTCGGGGAACATACCGTCATTTGCACCTCCACGCCGCTATAGATTACTTATTTTCGTTGAACAAGCAGACACGATATGTCGCTACCGCATGCTCGTATTGATTGGGAGCACTCACGTCGGGGATTTCTCCCGGTTCTTCATTTGTAACTTTCCCCCGTCTGATCGCGCAATTTCCTAAGGCGGAGAGAGCTGACATTCAATCCGTTATTTTTATAGCGACAAATATTGATCCCCGGGCAATGGG